ATTCTCCCCGTCATCGGTGGCCCTCTGGACTCTTCGAGTGATCAGTACTCCTTGCGCGTTTGTCGCGCGCACCCCTGGAAAAGGTCTCCAAGCCTGCCATGGTAGGAATAGCAGGAGGGCCATCTCTCCATCGGACAGACTCCGGCGTAACACCGTCGACAACGAACAGTGGAGTTTTGTCATGGTTAGCCATGGAAACGGCTGAAGAAGCTGGAAGAGCAAGGTTTGTCTATCAAAGTTCTTCCCACAGATGGCGCCAATTATATGAGGGTTAAATATTCTCTGTTCTCCATACTCCTTGTACTCGAGCTTTACACAGTGTCGTTAGGCCTGAAAACAAAAAGACGGTGAGCTGCCGAATAGACCCTCCGACGATCAAGTTAGCACACTTGAGGAACAGAGCACATTATTAGAGAGAGAGAGAGAGGGGGGGAGTGTCTAATTCCAGATTGCTTACCTCCAATGTCTCTCATTCCTCCTTTTTCTAGGCTGGCCATGCAGCCTCAGGGATTGTGGGCGCACTACCTCTGCTGTCCTTCCCTGGACAGGTGGTAGTGCTCCCCTCCACCTACCTTACGCGTGTAAAGGCCAAAACCTCCAAATAGCATGTGTAGAACTGCCAAACGGTATTGACGCGTGCCAAGAGTGGATTTCCCCTCCATCACACCATTGGTCTAGGTGGCACACTCAACCGGGATATCATGACCGACCTATCCCTTGGAAAGAAACACCACCATGACTGGGACGGCCGAACTGTAAGAAGTCGGTCCATCCGAACTGACTGGCCGTGAGGCGTGCCGGCCTTCGTCTCGGTCTAAATTCATTCCGGGCTGTGGTTGGCTCGGTCCAGACGCTCCATTGCGGATCCAACCGAATACCTAGTCGAATCACAGCTCGGTTGGGCACATGCATGTCTTCGCACTCTGGTCAGCGACATAGCTCGGCCAAACGTGATAGCCCGAAAGGCTGTGTAGATTCGGTTCGGTGCCATAGCCCGGCGCAAATCTCCCTCTCACTTCCCTAGTACTATTTGGGAGATAAATTTTCAAAAAAAAAAAAAATCTTGGGAGAAAGAGTTTAGAAATTTTTTTGATTTATTTGGTTGTATATTTTGGAAATGGTTTTCAAGTATGAGAGTTTGAGATGATTTAATATTTTGTTATACTTGAGTAGATATATGTAAGAGAAAAAGTGATTGAAAAATATAGAGAAGAGAGAAAAAATAATTGATTGATGTATAGGAGAGAGAGTGATTTTGAAAAAAAAAATTCAAAAAAATTTCAACTAAACAAAATTTTGAAATTTTTTTTCAAAATTTTGTTTTGAGAGTTAAACCAAACAAGGTCCTAATCTCTCTCTCTCTAACCAAAACATAATACTCCCACAATAATTCCATAGTACGCGTAACATCCTCCATAGGTTCATGTACCAAGAACACACACCGGGGCGTCAAGAAACCTCAAGGTAGGTTTAGCAAGGGTTACTATCATAGTTATCAAAAATTTTACGATTAACAATTTAATTAATGATTCGATACATGATTTTATATAAATCAACATGAACCTATAGATAAATTTACTATTTAAAACAAAATTGGAGATGTATCTTAGAATTCACGATTCAATTCAGAATGTACGATTCATACGAATTTGGAATATATTTGGAATTTGGAACTAAAATATTCTAAACCATTTTTGCCTCTCTTTTTTTAGTTAAAAATGTCGAAGTATAATCTTTAAGAGTGCTTAGTTAAATAATTAAATAGTTGCCAATAATCGTGAATGATCATTTGTTCAAGGATCTTGCACATTTTTTTCATAAAAAATAAAAAAATATTTTCAAACATATTCAGTGTGTTTGGTTTCAATTTTCTGAAAACTGAATTTTTTGTTTTCCGTGTTTTTTTTATTTTTTGTGAATATTTTTAAAATTTTGAGCATTTTTTTTAGTTTTTTAAGTGCACCTTACTTAGATATATCTGAAAAGTAAAATATTTGTGAAAAAAATATTTTAAAAAATATACTGAATTTTTATATTTTTGGTATTTAATGAATTTTTTAAAGATTTTTTTTCGCGAAATGCATAGTTTTCAAGTGTATTTATATTAGATGTGTTTAAAAATTAAAAAAATTGTTAAAAATATTAAAAAGATTCAATAAAAACAAAAAAGTAAGAAAAATAAAAAAGTAAAATTTTCTGAAAAATATTTTCAAAAAATTGAAAAAAAATATAATGATTATTAATTTTTTCACCTCATATTTTAATAAAAAAATTACTAAAAAACAATTTTTCAAACGAGCTCTTACTTCACCGTTAAACAATTACTATTCAATATTAGGGGTGTTTCCAAATAAAAATAAAAAATAAAAATAAAAAATAGGAGTGTTTTAGTTTTAAAGTAAATCAAGAATTCTTACTTCACCGCTAAACTATTACCTTTCAATATGAGGGGTGTTTCCAACAAAACAAATAAAAAAATAGGAGTGTTTTAGTTTTAAAGTAAATCAAGAATTAAATCGATTTGTTATTGGTTAAAAAAATTTAAAATTGTAACTAAATTGTATGTAATTGGATTAAATTGAATCATAAAATTCAATTTGATTCAAAGTTTTAAAAAATTTATATAACACGAAATATGGTATATACTTTATAGGGTAAACTACAAACACCCCTTGAACTATTATTTCTTGTGATTTGTAAAATTACAAATACCCCATTGTTAAAAAATTTTATTTAATACTATTAGTAGAAAAAAATAAAATTTCTAACTACTCTCTTATACAACAATAAAATTATAGGAGATTTGATGATAGACACCTCACTATCTAATTTGACTTTCAAAATGACAAAAGTTATATAGGTACTTTCAAAATCACCTAATATTTTAAAATTTGTTTATTTTACTATATTACCTTCATATCTATTAGCTCTTCTATTAAGCCATTCTCACCGTGTATTTCAGAATAAAATTTTACTTTGAATCATAGTAAACCTTACTCTGAATCAGAGTAAAATTTTATATCGTTAAACAAATCAATATGTTTTTAACCAGAGTAAAATTTTGATTTGAATCGTAGTAAATCAGAGTAAAGTTTACTATGATTCAAAGTAAAATTTGATATTGTTAAGCAAATCAACATGTTTTTAACAAGAGTAAAATTTTACTATTACAAAAAATAAAATGCATACTAAATGAATGAACCAGAGTCAAATTTTACTCTAAGATCTATTAACAAATAAATAAATAAATAAAAAGCCAATTGGAAACAACAAGGCGACATCTATAGCTCAGATTCATGTTCTCCATATCTATTACAATCTGTCTCATTTTCATCAACATCAACACAAGGGGGATAAAAAAAAGAAAAAGAAAAAAGAATATCTGTTGCAATATGTTTCTTTATCTACATCATCATCATCAACACAACAACAAATAAAATGAAAAAAAAAAAGAAAAAAAAAATCATATTATCATCTACATCCAGTGAAGGCTAACAACTTAGATATATGTTATTGATCTAAGAAATTTCAAGAGAGAAAAACGAAGTCTATGTAACGGTGGAGCAAAAGTTCAAAAAATCTGAAGTAAATTATGTGGAGAAGCCCAAAATCATAAAATCAAATGAACATATATTTACATATATACATAATTTTGTTGTATAATGTGTATGAGCTCTAATGAAATCGGTGCTGAAGCTTTATCTGGTCCTAATAGAGAGAGAGAGAGCCGTGAATCAAAGGAGACCGTCAATGAAGTTTGAGACTTGGATCCCGCTGAAAAGAGAAGGAGCAGGTTTCGAGTATCGATTGGAGCTTTCTACGATCTATTTGTGATCTCAGATCTGAGGATGAAGATGCCTTATGTCGATCTGTGTAGATCTGAGATTTAAGATTTGTGTCGATCTCTCTAATCGATCTGCAATGGCAGAGAATCCATCACCACCACCACCTTTGTTCCATCTTGGTTCTTCGGAACTGTGAGAGAGAGAAAAAGAGGAGTGGTGAGTCAAAGCAACGATGTCGTCTGTAAACCACTGTGAAACACCGGAACATAGCTGTTGTTGCCGCCATGTGTGAAGCAGAGGAGAGAGACGGAGAAGGTGGGGAGAGAGTGGGCGGAGAAGGTAGGAAGATTTAGTTGAGGATATAATAGTCTGATAAAATATTTAAATAATAAATTTTGTCCTTTATGCAAGACTTTATAATTATGAGGGAGTTTAGAAAGTACAATTTTTTTCTTAGTCCTTTTAACAATGAAAGGAATGTAAGGGAGGATTATAGCCAAATTTCCCAATTATAATTATCTGAATTGCTAATTGAAATATATTTTTAATAAAATGGGCAATCCATAATTTATTATCTGAATTGCTAATTGAAATATATAGAAACAACTACTCTCCTATATATCATTAAAAACTATTAGCCGACTTGATAATTTATTAATAAAATGAGTAATTTGTTATGCAATTATAAACTTGAAAAGGCCAAATATAATTTTTAAAATCACAAGAAGCAATCCATATTTTAAAAATCTCAGATAGTGTATTTGTAATTTATCCCTATCATTTTTTTCTCCCTCATTTCAACTATAATGTTAGTATTATTTTTTAGATATAATTTTTGAGATTACACTCTAAAATTTGATCCATTCTATATGTACAGAATTAAAACATGACTCACATAACACTTAAAATAGATTCAATCACATATTATATTTTTTGTATTTTAGTTATGTTCAATTTTCATTTCTCGAAAAAATAACGACCACGTAAGGTAATTAAAAGATATATGAACCAATTAACTAGTGTTGGGATATACCTCCTTATTAGAGTGTGGGACCCAATTGGTTTGTTAAAGAATTTTAATTTGGCTTGGTTTAGGTATAATATATTTTTATATATTATATTTGTGGAGATCCAATTCAATTTGGATACAATTAGGATTTGTTTAAAAAATAAACAAAATGAACAATACACATAATTTTAGCCGCTTAGTTTCTCTCGAATTTTGGAGCTAGCTATTAAAATTCAAAATCAAGAGTTCTTCAAAGCTGACAAAGCATCCTTTGTCGTAGCAGATATAACAGCATCTGAAGCATTTGGCAGATAGTAATATTTTCCTAAAAAACAAAGTTTTGCAGAAAAATAGTTAGACATGAGAAACTCATAATAGAACATCAAAGGGCATTCCAAGCAATCAAACCTTGAGCAACTCTCGCAATCTCTTTGGCAAAGCCTGTGGAGACGAACTTATTTTCCGTGTCAATGACAAGAAGAGACATCCCTGCTTTGTATATTTTCCCAGCAACTTCAAGAATCTCATCCTTCAAAAGACAATACAACAGAAAAAAAAAAAAAAAAAAAGCAACGCCCAATTAATACACCTTAATGTGTTTTTGGGAGAGAGAAGATCCATTAATTATTGTGACATTCACACTTCAAATTTTTACCCTATTTCTTTGATGGTGAAATTTATTTGAAAAGGCATGTAATACCATCTGATTGTGATAATATTTAGCTTTTAGCATTTGTACCTGAAGAAGCCCGCGTATTATCAAGCCCTGCAATGCTGTGATTGTGCTGCCTTTTTATTTTTTATTTTTATTTTTTGGTGCATAAATTTACCTTCAATTCTTGAGTAGAAGGCCTAGGAGCATCAGAAGCAGCAGTAGCTTCAGGATCAGTGGATCTTTTCAATGATATGTTGGCTCGACCATCAGTTATTGCAACAATCATTATTCGTCCAACGTCACCACTCTTCTCCGCATTTAGCCCAACCCTGACAGCCTAAGGAATTCAGGTTAATACAAATGTTAGAGACAATGTCGACAATCGTAGTTACAAATTTCAGGTTTGTTTGATTGTTTTAAGAGCTGAGAATCAAGATGCAGATGGAAGTGGTTCAAATAGAAATCCAACAAAGGAAAGGGAAGAAAGCAATGCATTCACACTAAAAACTAGAAAACAGATTATTTTCAAATAGCTCAGGCAGAGATATACATATCTTCATGAAATACACGAATCAAATATTACACAACAGATCAGTCAATACAAATTGAAATAATCTCATATATTTCAGGTAATTTATATGCTTCTGACATTTTAGCCAAGACCCTAGCAATTATAAGATTTAGATGAACTTGCATACCGTGGTAAGACCGTGAGCTAGGGGGGAACCTCCTCCACAAGGAAGTCTCTCAAGACGTTTTCTTGCCATTGCAATTGACCTGGAAGGTGGCAGCAGAACTTCTGCAGAATCTCCACGAAAAGGAATGATCGAAACCTAGTTTAGGTTAACAGTAAACTAAATCAGATAGGTAGTCATAAAGGAATAAAAGACTTGACAAAAATTAATAAATGTGACCTTAAACAGTATATTTAAAAACAATACTCCGTCACTATTATGATAAAACTTGTGACCCTGATATAAGCTTAACAGAAATGAAAGTGACAAATGAGTAAATGTGGGCTTGGACAAAAGGCCTGCGAATCATGTCTTCCGTTTCCAACATTGAAACTTCCACCGTATGATCTTTTCAATAGAAAGAGGCATGCACCAGGTCATCAGCATATGATCAAGAATGTCTTGTACAAATTTTGACAATTTCTACAAATAAGCAGTACAAATGGGATTTCATTTAAACCCATCTTCAGAATAAACAGGCATGGCAATTGCACCTCAAGACCATTGTTTGTCATAAGAAATAACCTCTTATGTGAGACATTCATGCATAATTCCTCCATAAGCTTATCGTTTAACTGGAATGCTGAAAACAGCATGCAACTGGGAGGAAAAATGAGGAGTACTATACCGAAATTAAAATTTACCGTTGAATTAACTATAGAAGTAACCAGTGAAATAGTAAAACGATATTTTCACCTTGAACAGTCAATGTTATTAATGTCTTTAAACGCACCTGATCTCTGCTTGTATAACTCTCTGCCAGTAATTTAAGAGCAGCGCCTTTTGCATTCTGCATACGGTTCAATGCCATGCTTCCACTAGCGTCGACCACAAATATTACCTGCCATGGACAAAAATCCCAGAAATAAAATTAATCCTAAAGTTCACAAGTTGTTTTCTCACAACTCGGACACAAGCCCTGTGAGCCCACCAATACCCCCAAGTTAAACTGGACATTCTAGGGTGAACCCCTCTGAAGTTGGATCAGAGGTAGCCATGATCAACCCAAGTTAAACTGTATATTCTAGGGTGAAATCAACCATCAACAAAAGCAGTTTCAGGGTTTTGGAAAAAATTTAAAGTGATTGCACTCCATTTTGAATTTAGAAAATTTCCAAGAAGTTAAATGGATTTCACTCGTAATTTATGAAATTGTCAGATAATCATTGACATATTTCCATTACATTTCACAAACCCACCCCCACCCCCACCCTCACCTCTCGGATGGTTTTCAGATAAGTAAGTGACTACATGCTAAACAGAAAAATCAGAAAGTCTTTCCTAGTGTGGTAATTAGTAGCAAATCCCATAGCTCATTTTTTTAAAAAAAAAAATAAAAAAAATAAATAAATAAATAAATTGTTAAAAAGATTTTTACAAAAATCCATTTAAGATATACTACAGGGGAAAAAAAATACAAAATAGAACTGTGAAAACACTCTATAAATTTGATAACACAATGAACAGGAAAATTTGAAAAAGAAATTTGAGTACTATGGTACCAGTGCTCCTGCTTTTCGTGCCATTCTTTTAGCCCTCATGTCCGTTTTCTCTACATACACTTTCCTATTCTTTTGAGTATCCTTCTCCCTTCGCAACTTCTGATATGGTGCAGCTGCCCTAAGAGTTGCATCAACAGCTAATCTCTTTACAGGACCCTGATTAAGATTGTGCAACTTGGTCAGGGCAGAGAAAGTGCAGAAATAAACTTTTCCCAAGAAAACACAGTTCTAGATTCTTGAAATTCTCAAAGAAATCCATCAATTAACTTAACAAATTCAAGAATGGCCAACTGAGAATGAAACCATGCATTTCTGTTAATTTCTATGCTATTTCTTTTGGTTTCTAAAAGTATCAGCAAAACACAAGTTCAGAAAGGGCAGATGATCCATATCAAAGATTCTCTTCTTTTTTTCCCCTCTAAATTTCCATTTTCTTCTCTAACGTTGAGAGAAGCGAAGATGGGGAACTTACCTTCGGAAGCATTGGTTTAATATATCGGCCTCTATCCTCCGAAAATATTACATTCTTTGCCCTCCCAGCCTTTCCTCGGCGTCTCTGTGCTTGTTGTGCAAAGAAGAGAAGTTTCTCATCCACCAGACCCCCTTCTGCATCAAAGATAAACTCCTCAGGTAGTTGATCCCGTTGTTGCTCATTCTCTTCATCATTTTCATCCTGCTTACAAAGTGAACCTTCCATTATAAGCACACATGATTCACCAGAGAATTTTTTTCTGTAATAAAAGATGATAGCTGAGAAATCAATCAGGGAGTATGACAAGAGGAAGTTGATAAGTTTTGAGCTATATAAACCTCTTGATCTTCCTCTTCATTCTGCTCAGCAGAATCTTGATTTTGTTGAGGGGGTGGTGGAGGTGGAGGCTGCTGGTTTTGCTGTTCAGGGGGATTTTCATTGATGATTGAACGAGGAAGGATAACAAGTTCAACCTGCATCAAATAAAATTTTCAGAAGAGGAATATTATGTTTGACTGCTCAAAAGAAGCCATTTATGATTTATAAGTCTCAAACTAAACCCATTACAACAAAAATACAAGTACTATCTTTGAATCAATGAACGGTAGATAACTCATCGAAAGAGCTGTAGAAGTTCACCAGTATTAACAAGAGTTCGTGTTCATTTTTCAGATTCCAATAGCCTATGGATATGCTTGGAGTTTATTCCATTTTGGAAACTCATAGCACACTCCCATAAAAAGGTTAATAAACTTGGGATTTCAGCTTCAAAATTTCTGTGGACAAATTCCACTTACAGTCTTACAGATGATCAAAGTTTAACCAGAGGTTGAACTTCAAACTTTGCACCATGTCCACTAAAATGCATTGCTGTCCAAAGAAATCACATCTACTTCAATTTGTTTATCATCATAATGATAAGATGACATGGGAGATTTATTGGCCAAAACAAGTTTTGGACAGATCTAAAGGATTGAAGGAATTACACATATCTAACCAAAATTTATTTACAAGAAAAAGAAAGAATAACTTAACTGCTTTCTTCAGGTCATCCACACTGACTTTTTCACGTCCTTCTAAAGCAGCTAAGCATTTGGCAACACGGGCAGCATATAGCTCAGCTCTATGTCCCTGTCATGAACAGATGTATGCAAAAATTTAACATCAGGAGTATCTTTTCAATAATATTATCAGATACTGCATCCATTAGTACGATCTCGGATAAATTAAATGGTATGCAATAAGGCATGTGATACAACATAAATGTCAAAGTTGTAGTGGTGGGTGGTTTTCAATCTCTGTTATATGTAACAATAACATATACCTAACTATTGTTTGCTTCTTTAATAAACAGATGTCTTTATTTTGCAATACTATAAACACAAGATATTTGTGAATCAAATAAATAGATAGAAACCATATAAACTTTTAACAAAAACTAAGGAAGGGTTCCATAAATAAGAACCTGGCAACCACCTCGAAGTGCTTCCAAAACAAGATACTTCAATTGCTCCCTGCTGATAGTAACGTCATTCAAATACTCTCTAGCCAATATAATCTACAAGGTATGAAGAAATAAAAATCAGTAATTAAATAACTCAAAGAGGCTGATTTCTGTGACTTGAACCCACACCACAGCGTGGGAAATATAAAAAGAATGAAAAAGATGTTTTGGATTACTCATGAATGAGGTAGAGCCATGTATATAATGAAACAATATTACAAAATAGGAAACAAAACTATAAAGGCACTAAATCTGTGATTTGCACAATCACGGATTTTATACACACTACTATAATTACAATATTGTTATTTCCTAAATTCAACACTCCCCTCAAGTTGGTGTGAAGATATTCAACAAACGTAACTTGCCAATGGATGACTGGAGTAATGTCGGGCCTACAGACTTGGTGAACATGTCTGCTAATTGCTGAGAAGAACAAACAAAGGATAAACTTACAATACCAGCCTGAACCTTTTCTCGAATGAAATGTATATCAACCTCTGTATGCTTAGTACGCTCATGTCGAATAGAATTAAAAAATAGCATAATAGCATACTTGTTGTCACAAAACAAAGGGGCAGGAGCAATCTCCCCAAATCCCAACTCTGCCAGAATAGAATGAAGCCATAGAATCTCACATGTTCCCTGTGCCATAGCCTGATACTCGGCTTCTGCAGAAGACCTAAAAACAACTGCTTGCTTCTTACTTTTCCATGATATAAGATGATCACCATAGAAAATACAGAAGTCAGAAGTAGAATGCCTATCAGTTCTAGACCTAGCATAGTTAGCATCAATGAAACAGGAGAGTCCAAATTGAGGATCAGCTGTGAAGAATAATCCCAAGCCAGGAGAGATCTTCAAATATCTCAAAATGTGATGAACCGCATCAAGATGTTCTGTACGTGGTGCATACATGAATTGACTAACAACACTAATCGCAAATAACACTAATCGCAAATGTCAAGTCAGGTATAGCGTTGGTCAAATAAATGAGATGCCCAACAAGAAACCGATACATGCTTGGGTGCTCTAACAACTTGCCAGATTCTGATGCGAGCTTAACATTAAGATCCATAGGAGTAGAAGTAGGTTTACACCCTAATATACTACTATCCTAAAAAAGGTCAAGAGTGTACTTCCTTTGAGACAAAGAAATCCCTTACCGTGAGCGAGCCACCTCAATCCCTAGAAAATGCTTGAGACTTCCCAAATCCTTAATATCAAATGTGTGTCTCAAATCCCTTTTTACTTGATCAATGCCTACAAAATCATCACGGGTGAAAATAATATCATCCACATAAACCAACAATACTATACACTGACCTGCTGAATTACGACGAATGAACTAAGTATGGTATAAGTGGCACTGAACAAACCCATGGAGATGATGATAGAACTAAAACGACTAAACCAAGCTCGTGGAGACTGTTTGAAGTCGTATAAAGACTTGCACAATCGACGCACTTTCCCCGAATACTCCCCCTTAGCCCGAAAACCTAGAGGAGGTGCTATATAAATCGTCTCAACAAGATGCCCATGAAAAAAGACAGTCTTGACATCAAGCTGATGAAGAGGCCAAGAATGGGATGAGGCAAGGGAGATGAGAAGACTAATAGAGGTAAGCTTGGTAACAGGTGCAAAAATAGCTCCAAAATCCTTGCCAAGAACCTGGGTGAAGCCCTTAGCCACCAAACAGGCTTTGTAACGGTCAATGGAGCCATTAGCTAAGCATTTAATAGTGAATAGCCATTTGCTATTCACAATACTCTCGCCAGAAGGTAAAGGAACCAGATCCAGGTATGATTCTGCCCTGAAGCTGCCATCTCAGCCTCTATAGTCTCTACCCATTTTGGATTCTGAAGGGCCTCTGACACAGACCGAGGAATGGACTCGGACTCAAGTTTGCCAATGAAAGAACGATATGAATCTAAGACCCTGTCATATGAAAGATACAGGGAAATAGGATGATTAGTAATACTCAAATAATCCCAATGGTTTGGAAGATGTCGATCCCGAGGGGGATTATGACGAGGAGGTAGAGGAGATGTAGTTAAAGGAGAAGAGATACCTGACCCAGAGATCGAAGAGGCGGCAGAGGGCAGCTAAGAGCGTGGGCGACAAGAGTATCCCTGCAATGAAAGGGAGGGGGGGGAAAGAGGCAAAGATAGAGAAGGAGAAAGGGGAACAACCTCATTAACGTTGCCCAAAATGGGCACCGGGCGAACACTGGAAGTAATGGGAGTAGAAGCCTGTAAAGGAGGGTTAATACCAAAGAAAGATCCTCACAAAAAGGAACATGCAAAGTTTAGTGAAAGTGGCGAGACATGGGATCATAACACCTATATCCTTTGGACATGGAAGAGTACCCAAAGAAGACACAACAAATAGATTTGTCATCTAACTTAGTGCGAGTGAGACTCTGATTTTGGATGAAACAGGTACACCCAAAGACACGTGGTAGGAGAGGAAATAAAGTGGTGTTGGGCATAAGGACATGAAACAGGGTGAGACCATGCAACACACGACTAGATGTCCTATTAATAAGATTGATAACAGTAAAGACAACCATATGCCAATACGACTTAGAAATGCCCACAGTTTTTGCGTTCAGCAGCACCATTTTGCTCAGGGGTCCGAGGACAAGTAAGTTGTTGAAGAATACCAGTCTGATTAAGATGGGAACAAAATTCATTGGAATTGTATTCCCCACCATTATCAGAATGGATATTCTGAACAACTGTATAAAACTAAGTTTTAACCATTTGCAAAAACTAAACAAAAATAGGAAACACGCCAAACATACAGCAAAGAAGATAAATTCAAGTACACCGAGTGTGATCATCAATAAAAGTCATAGAATATCTATGATTAGAAAAAACAGTCACAGGAGAAGGACCCCAAATATCGAAATGGATAAGATCAAAAGCACTGGAGGCACAGGTAATATGAGGGATATATCTAGTACAAGTATGTTTGGACAACTCACAAACCACACAATGAAATGTAGAATGCAAACTTGATGTAATAAAGGAAAAAATTGACTTGACCCATATGTGCATGCCATAATTCTAACATCAGAATATTAAAAACACAAGACATAGAAGCAGGCAAAATAAACGCCTGAAAACTAGGTAAAATAGAAAGAGACGGTTTGTTCGGTGGATCCCCAAAGTAGTAAAGCCCATCACGCTGATAGCCCCTGCCAAAATTCTCTTTGAACTCGGGTACCATAAAAGACAAGAAGAGGAAAAGAAGATGACAACACAATTATAGGTTTTGGCAAGCTGACTAACAAATAAGAGATTATTGGTGAAATTAGAAACATGCAACACAAAAGACAGAGTAATATCGGGTGACAAAGACACTACACCCTTATGATGAACAGAGGAGGAAAAACCATTAGCAAGACAAACTAGTAGTAGGACTGGAGATGAAAGAAAAGAAAACTCACCCTCATATGATTATCAGCCCCAGAATCTAGGACTTATGAGGGACTAGCAGACCAAACATGGAAAGTAGTAGAAATACTTGTAACAAGGGTGGCAGCAGTGGAAGATGATGAGCCATGAGAACTAGTGGTTAGGGATCAAAGTTGAGCTTGAAGCTAACCAATCTGAGTCTGTAACTCCTGTAAATTAGGAATAACAAGAGACCCAGAAACACCGTGATGATGACAAGTAACTGGACCAGTAGAACCCCGAGAACCAGACTTTGTAGCAAGAGCCATCTGATCAGATAACACCGGAGGAGGGCTAGGTTGAAGAACATGCAGCAACACAACAACACAGTCTGAATAAAAACACCACAAGAAGCCGGAAAAACTCAACGGCTTACCAAGTAAATACTACCGAACAAATCCAATAACCCAATGAATAAAAAAGTCAAAAAAGTGCTTAATACATTAGCACTACACCCTAGAAAGGAGAAAAAAAACAGGGACTGAACTGCCCTAGAACAGCTGCCGAAGCACCTACAGCCAGGAAATACCCTGTCGGCAGCCAACAAGGCCCTCAGCAGCAATAGGGCAGCCTGCTGAGGGGTGTAAAGGGTTGGGTAAGTGGTTTCAAGGGGTCTAGGCTGGCTGGGTGGAGCTGTCGAGTGAAATAAAGGGTTTGAGAGGGACTGTCAGCCCTCAAGGAGGAAGAAAGAAGATGTAACAGTGGCTGGGCAGTGGTGCAGAGGTGCTGACAGTGGCTGGGCAGCGAACTAGGGTTTCTATGCTTTGGCTTTGATACCAAAAAGAATGAAAAGATGTTTTGGCTTATCTATGAATGAGGTAGAGCCATGTATATATAATAAAACAGTGTTACAAAATAGGAAATGAAATTATAGGGCACTAAATCTGTGACTTACACAATCACGAATTTTATACACACTACTATAATTACAATATTGTTATTTCCTAAATTCAACAATATATAGCACTTGTCATTGCTCCAGGTCATAAAACAGGCAAAGTAGCAACACTCAACCCCCCCCCCCCCCCCCCCCCCCAAAAAAAAGGAGGGTAAATTATAAATACACTGCTGGAGAGTATGGTAGACTTAAAAGAAAGAATATGTAAATAGCTCTAACTATCAGGTTTCAGAAGCACAATAAATATCTACCAAGAAAACCATCTCCCTATCCCCCAAAAGTTGTGTCATAATGATTTTAGAGAAAAGTCAATTGTTCACAGTTCAGATAAATCGCTGAACTAGAAGGCTATGGATTGATGATTATCGATTGATGATACTCATGAATCATAAATGACTAGAGAACTACCACAAAAATATTGAAATCAAGGACCTTGCAGCTTGCTCGCATATATAGTCTTCCTTCACAGATCATTAAAATCACAGTGGTTTTATAAATCTCTGGGGTTCAAATTACAAGCAACAAAACATACCACAATCCTGTCTTGCACGAGACCTTTTTGAAACTTGCCTAAACCATGCAAGCCAAACAAAGTGATCTGATTGTAAGATTTCATAGGGACTGAGATTTTAGGGGGAATAATAGTAATTTTTACCAAACATCTAGCGACTTGCCACCAACAAGAGATGAAAACTGAGAAAAACATTTGAATTAGAAATTTCTGGAAACCCAACAAAATAACTAGCAAGCAGTCAGCAACATCATATTTTCCATTCTTAGAAGATCGTGCATTCATTAACATGATTCTCCAGAAAATTTCCATTAATAAGGAGTCCTGCATGCACGCTTGCAAAGGAAAGGTAAAATTTACTAGCGTTGATTAAGAGAATAATTCCAACAACCAAAGAAATGAAGACTATTAAACCAAACCAACCAAACCAAACCAAGCCTTTAAGTCCCATCAAATGGGGTCGGCTATATGAATCCTTATTCTCTACGCTGCCCTATCAAAAGCCAATTCATTAGTCAAATTAAGTAGATCCATATCTCTATTTATAACGCTAGCCAACGTTAATCTAGGCCTACCCCGTCCCCTAACACTTCCATCTATCGTTACAACATCGCATCTCTTCACTACTGCCTCTTTTGGTCTTCGTTGAATATGACCAAACCATCTCAATCGATTCTCTCTCAACTTATCTTCTATCGGTGCTACTCTTACCCATTCCCAAATACACTCATTCTTAATTCTGTCTTGTCTAGTCTTGTCACACATCCACCTTAACATTCTCATCTCAGCAACACTCATCTTATCTACATGTTGTTTCTTGATTGCCCAACACTCCGTCCCATACAACATCGCTGGTCTAATAATCGTTCTATAGAACTTACCTTTTAGTCTAGTGGGTATTTGTTTATCGCACAGTACCCCAGACGCACTTCTCCACTTACACCATCCCGCCTTAATCCTATGGGCCACATCCACATCAATCTCCTCCGTTGTTGTGATAATCAATCCTAAATAACGAAAATGTTCACTCTTAGGCAGTTCTTGGTTCTCAATCTTCACTTTTCTTCTGCTTTCATTGTTACTGTTACTAAATTTACACTCCATGTACTCTGTCGTAATTCTGCTTATCCGGAATCCTTTAGATTCAAGAGCTTTTCTCCAAATCTCCAACTTTGTGTTAACTCTTTCTCTAGTCTCATCCACTAACAAGATATCGTCTGCAAAAAACATACACCATGGCACGCCATCCTGAATATTTCTCGTCAACTCATCCATAACTAAAGCAAAAAGATAAGAACTTAAAGTAGATCATTGATGTAACCCTACAGTGATAGGAAATTCATTTGTCTCTCCAATAGGCAATCTAATAGTAGTCATCACCCCTTCATACATGTCCCTAACCACATCAATGTAACATTTTGTCACCCCTTTGTTCTCTAACACCCATCATATTATATCCCAAGGGACTCTATCATATGCTTTCTCAAGATCGATAAACATCATATGAATGTCTCTTTTCTTTTCTCTATACTTTTCTATTACTCTTCTCAAAAGATAGATCGCTTCCATTGTTGACCTGCCAGGCATAAACTCAAACTCAGTGTTATCAGAGGCGAGCCTAAGCGCTCGCCTAAGCGCTAAGCGAGGCGAAGCACACTTTCATTATATGAAACATTAGCTTGATTCCTCTATAGTTGTTGCAATTTTGGACATCTCCTTTATTCTTATTGATTGGCAGTAAATTACATAACTTCAAATCTTGCAAATGTAATTAATTCATTAGTATCCCATGAGTCTAACAATAATTGCAAAACTTAAGAAATAATGTTCTCCAGCCATGTAAGAATGATATGGATAGTTCACCACCCAAACAGTTGAATTTTGTAATAAGACAATAATGTTGAATATAGAGAGATAATAGAGACAGAAAAGAGAAAAGTAAGAATACAAAGATTTGACGTGGTTTGGCCAATATCGGCCTACATCCACACACACAAAGCCCTAAAAGGCTACATCTTTCATTCACTCAACTTAATTCTCTTGCTTACATGATACTCCATATATATAGAGTGGAAGATACAATCAAATCCCTTCAGTTAAGGAATTGAAATAAATCAAAGATACAAAAAATCATAATAAGAACAAATCATGGAATCTCCATATATTATGATATCTTCTATATCTTTTAATATCTTTGAGAATATAATATTATCTCCAACACTCCCCCTCAAGTTGGAATGCGGAAAGGTTAAAGTGAAGTGTCCAACTTGAACTCCAAAATATGATGATTATTACAAACAACTACAATGAAGTTGCCGGAAAAAACAATTGTAATCACTCCACTAAATGACAACTTCAAAGAACATGGGCAAGGGATCACTATCTTGCAATGGAGAAACATGCATGGAATCAATCACGATGGCAGCAAGAGAAACCAACCGAGAGAGAAAAAGGAACAAGGCTAAAGCAACAACAAATCACCACAAACAGAAAGGCCAACAAAATGGTATCCCACAAAGAATGTTACCGAACACACTAGTGGCCCAAAAACAAAAAAGAACCAAATATATGCTTACCACATCAGCATAGGGACCCTAAAAGGGTAGAGAAGTAGCCAGAAAACTTGGCATATCACAGAAGAATGCTACCGAACACACTAGTAGCCCCAAAACAAGTAAAAATCACAAAGTTTGCTTACCACATCAGCAAACTATTGGCCAACTTAAGAAAAATGGAAAAACGCCTTGATAACAAAAAAAAAAAAAAAAAAGATGGAGCAAGAAAGCATTCTAAAGAGAAACAAGCCTAGCGTTTGGTAGGCTCTGAAATCAAGTTGAATTTTGTAATAAGACAATAAGGTTGAACATAAAGAGATAATAGAGACAAAAGAGAGAAAAGCAAGAACACAAAGGTTTAACGTGGTTCGGCCAATATTGGCATACATCCATACACAAAGTCCTAAAGGGCTACATCTTTCATTCACTCAACTTAATACTCTTATTTACATGATACACCATATATATAGAGTGAGAGATACAATCAAATCCCTTTAGTTAAGGAATTGAAATAAATCAAAGATACAAAAATTATAATAAGAACAAATCGCAAGATCTCCATATATTATGATATCTTCTAATATTTTTGACAATATAATATTATCTCCAACACAGACCATCATGAGCAACCAAATATCAACTAAAATAAACAACAACATGGTATGCCACAAAACCTTATCTTTTAAGCAGCCTCTAACCCCAACAACTTGATGTTTTTTATTTGGTCAACTTAAGCAATCAAGTCTTCTTTTTTTCTTTTTTTTGATAAATACTTAAGCAATCAAGTCTTAAACTTAGCAAGATTTACATTTTATTTAGAAGTTGAAATTAGATTAGAACAATGGTGATAGTAGAACAATCTATCTGGCCAAATCTTTGTTACAGAATTATAGAACATAAGATTTCAAGGATACACCTCTACTTGAAACTTGAAAGCTTAAACTCCTGTGGTGTGATGTGATTCTAGAGTCTTCGACAATAAAATTAAATACACAAGTCAAATAAACAAATAAATACACTTTGCTGAAAGGGTGACATTTCAATCTTGACCAAGAAGTGAGATAAAAGTCCTCCACAGATCCTTTGTCATCTATTCCTTATGGTTTCACTAAATTTTTCTACCTTAAAGGTCTGCTTATATTCCTGCATAGCTCTTTTGAGGTTTAGCAGCCTTTCTCATTCAACCCTAACCTATATATAGAAAGACCTTCCTCTTGTCATGACACAACTTATGATGTGTATTTTAACATTATAGAAATCTACAACATGCTATCCTAATCGATCAAATCACCTTGCTAAATATTTACCTGAGTCTTTGCATAGTCTGTTCCCTCCTCAACCATTTTAAAAACTTCATTACTATGTTCCTGAAACTGTGTTGCAATTTCAACAGCTGCAACACGATCTTCAAAACTCATTGGAAGATCTGCACTGCAGAAGAACAATGTAATTAGTAGTAAGAGTGAATAAGAAGTGAAAGTATCAACACAGTGATAATAAGATGTGTGCAAAGGTGTAAAAATCACAAGACATGTATGGCATATTTTGCAAACTAGATACACAAATAGCTGTTAGGCAAATTAAGATTTTCAGACCTGTCTATTGATTGCACAACTACAGAACAAATAAGATTGCAAAAATCTTCATATTAAAATTCTATATGCTGATCAAAATGTGTACCTCAAATTGATTGCAATCCGATCCAGCAAATGTTCCCGTACAGCACCCTCTTCTGGGTTATAAGTAGCAATCAAAAGTGGCTTGCATGGATGTCGAAAGCTGATCCCTTCTCTTTCCACGATATTAACTCCCTCAGTCAACACATTGAGAAGCAAATTACTAATGCCCTCATCTAACAGATTAATCTCATCAACGTATAGAACTCCTCTATGAGCTTCAGCAAGAAGGCCAGGCTGGAAAACAGTTGTTCCAGATTTCACAGACTCCTCAACATCAACAGAACCAATAAGTCTATCTTCAGTGACACCAAGTGGAATCTGAAGCACAAATTGAACTGGGAATTGAGTAAAAGAAGGAAACAACATGAATATGGAAGGATTCTAGCACAAAAATTACCTGGACAAAAGGAGATCTGACTATCAGAGTCTTGACATTACCAGCAGGGTCGTGTTCCACTTTATTAGCCAATCCATCTTCCCACCTTCAAAGAATTAAAATAAAAAAATTAAGTATTTTGAAAGGAATGATTGCACACGATAGTTCTGTTAATTGTTACAATCAACTCAGCTAAAAACTTTTGTTGTGAACACACCATCTCTGTTATAAGTTTCAACCACAAGCAAAACATGTCCATGTGGATAGCCAGCACACCAGGGGCCACAAGTGAGGGGGAGTGCTAGTGACAAATAAACAAGTTACACCTCTACCTGCCCTAGTACCATGTTAATTGTTAACTACAACTCATCTAGAAGCATAACTTGTTAGAGAGAGGTGCAACTTATTTATTTGTCAACACTCTCCCTTGCGTTTAACCCTTCATGCATTTTGGTTTGTCCATGTGAATGTGTTTTTTTTATTGTTATAAGTATTGAACACGTTCAAAGCACAAAATATCATTAGAAGGAAAATAAAAATAACTCTTCAATTCAAATCTTTCAATAGATGAAAGGAATCTTGACATCAAAGACATAAAAATCACCCTCTGCTTTCTTAGTGTACAGGTCCCCAAAAATGACGACTTCTAACGTCTGTATTGTAGTGCATAATTGTATAACTCAGTGAGTGCAACAACTACTGATGACTTAGATGTTGGGTTGAATTAATAGAAAAAGAATTAGAATTTTAGTCAATGAGAAATCAGAAATGAAGAAAGAGGTAACAATCATGTCAAGCAAGTTCAGAGTTTCAATTATGATGCCACCAGTTTCAGTTAGATGTTGGGCCATGTATAAAAATACACACAAATTACAATAAATTTCGTTTAAAATAAAATATCACAATATATTGCTTGTCATCACATCAGCATCAATTACAATATGAATGAATACAAAACTATTTCAAGCACAAAAATACAATTGACGAAGGAATAACTTTCCAGTCGCCTCAAGTCCATGACAATTTCAAAATTCCAGTTCGCTATCAAACTAGTACCATAAATTGTAATCATATTTCATCATAAACACAGAACATTTACTATCCACATCATATGGAAGAAGCTGAATTCAGTAACCTTACTCTTCCGGGCAGGCTGGATCAACATTAGCAATTGAACCAACAACTACTTCAATAGGTGGCAGAATAGCATGCAACCCACGTGCCATCACTGTTTTGGCTGTTCCTCGCTTTCCCGAGATTGCAATACCTCCAATCTCACGGTCAATGGCCCCAAGCAGAAGAGCTGTTTTGATAGCATCCTATAAAAGGAGTTAATTTTTCAGATAATAGGGTTGGCAATATTTTTTTATTTCTTGAAACAGCTTTACATATCAATGTATTGTTAACAAATCAAACAGAGAACAAATAAAAAGTATGAACAAAGGTGGGAAATACAATAGAATTCATACACTAGCAGTCTCAAGAAGTATGTGAAATCTAACCTAAGCAGGATTTCTTATGAAAGGCTAACAACACACCAATACATTCCTCTTGGTTTCCCATGTTTTTTTTCATGGTCTTGGATGTTTGAATTCTTCCCTTATATAAAAAGTTTCCCTAAATTTGACGAGGACAATATAAAGATAATTCCTCATATCTAAACTTTACAGTGACATGTCCCATTGGAAAATATAACTTAATTTATTGAACTCAGAAGCATGAATCTAGATCAGTTTCCCAAATTGAAATAGCAAATTCATTATTTAATTTGCTCAGGGTGAATCAACATAAAATGTTTTCCCTGATATAACAATCAAAATACCAGGCTTTAAATTTTTGAGGAAAAACCACAAATAAATAACACTATAAAAAGATCAGTACAAAATCAGCCACCTCTTAAAGAAGCAGCTTTCGCCAGCACATAAGCAGCTTTTACATATTGTCTGTCCACTTTAACTACAATAACATAGACAAAAAAAGCTTCATACATCCTTAATTTCTTTAAATATTCCCCAAACATATAATCCGTCTTGACCTCCAATTTCAAAGCTTGCACTAGAAGCAGGCTATCAGTTTGTAGATGTATTATGGTGAGCCCCATGAACATGACACCATCTCAAATCCTCCAAACAAGAATACTGATATGCACACAAACAATGAGAACTGTTTCTCACTACGGATTGCCAACCTGGTGTTGAGAGGCTAACAGTTCCTGCAATTTATACTTCTTAATTTCATATTCATGAGTTTCATCAGAATTTCATCACATAACCTATTCACCCAATCTCAATTGCTTTCAGATGCCTATGGAAAGAAGTATTTATCCCAATCGAATATTCAATGCCATTTCATAACATTTGAATATATTCTTCCGTTGAAAATATGGGACACAAGGGAAAAATGCTTCCAAATTGGTGCTGGTCGTGTGCAGAGCTCATAGGTAAACAACCAAACCACGTCTAATTCATTGTAAGCTGTTTAGAATCAGGACATGTTATTGTCTTCTTCTTTCTTTCTTTCTTTTTTTTTTTTTTTTTTTTTTTTCTCCCTTTTCTTTTCTTTTCTTTTTTGTACGAGTCAAGCCACACTCAGTGATGGAGTTAATGAGTTGCTTGCAAGGGGATTTAGTGAGAGAAAGAATTATAGTAGGCATGGGAAGGTTTTTGGTGTCTCATGTGGTATATGGAATGAGAAGAACCAAAGGAGTTCTATGGATTCAGTGATGCCAGCCATGGGCCAAAAGAGTTAATGTTTAAACACTACACATTTGGCTCTCAAAGATGTTTCCTATTTCTTCGCTTCATATTGTAGATTCATGGGAGAGTTGAGCTTTTGTTAGGATCTTCCTATGCAAATACAGTTGAATTTTGTAATAAGGCAATAAGGTTGAATTGTAAGATTTCTAAATAAGAATTGTATATTCAACTTGTGAAAATAATACAAGGATACATCTAATTATATAACAATCCTAACCCTAAGACAAAAAAGGAAAAAGAATATATTTACAGTCCCTCACGAATGCTCAACATATATACAAAATATATACTACCATATATAGAGATATACTAATATTCTCATACCCCCGCTCAAACTCACAGTGTTTTAGCAGAAAACACTAAGAGTTTGCCAAGAAGAAACTGAAACCGAGCAGTAGTGTGACTCTTGGTGAAGAAGTCAACAAGTTGCAAAGCCAAAAAGGCGAAAAGAAGCGAGATAGAGCCAAACTGCAGATGCTGACGGATAAAGTGATAATTGATCTCAATGTGTTTTGTCCGTTCATGGAAGACAGTGTTATAAGCAATCTGAATAGCGTTGTGGTTGTCACAGTAGAGAGAGGTTGGAGAAGATTGAGGGACACCCAAATCAGACAAGAGAAAACGAAACCAAACAATCTCAGCAGCGGCATGGGCCATAGCACGGTACTCAACTTCAGCAGTGGAACGTGCAACAACAATCTATTTCTTGCTCTTTCAAAAAATCAAGAAATCAATAAAAAAACATGCAAAAGCCATAAATGGACTTGCGATCAGTGACATCACCAGCCTAATCAAAATCAACATAGACTACCAAGTCTAAGGAAGAAGTAGAAGACAATAGCAATCCCTGAAATATAGTACCCTAGAGATAGCGAAGAATCCGAACGAAAGCAGCCCAATTTGGAGAGGAGCAAAAATGAGCTAGCTGACCACATGAACAACCTAGACAAGATCAGGGCGAGCAATTGTCAAACAAATTAAGTAACCTATTAACTCTCGATGTAAAGTAGGATCATCCAGAGGTACAACATCAATAGTGTTAAGCTTCACATTAAGCTCAATTAGGATATCAGAAATCTTAGTGTCAATAAAACTAACACGGTGAATAACCTCATTTACATACTTGGCCTAAGATAAAAAATAGTTCTTGGGAGAAGGTGCTACCTCACTACCAAGAAAATAGCACAAGGGGTCCAAATCCTTAATTTCGAAAGTGCGGAAGAGATGCTGCTTGACCTCAAAGATAGCAGAAGAGTCAAAACCAATGATAATCACATCATCCACATAAAGTAACAGAGCAACAAAACCAGCAGAGGCGTGGAGGAGAAACAAAGCAGAATCGTGAGCACAAAGGTGAAACCCAAGCTGAGTAATTGCTGCTTGAAAACAGTCATACCAAGCATCGGGAGACTGTTTCAAACCATAAAGAGCACAACAAAGATGACACACTTGTCCAGAAGAATGAGGAAGACCAGTTGGAGGACGCATGTAGACCTTCCGAGCGAAATAGACATTAAGAAAAGCATTCTTAACATCCATCTGATAAAGAGACCAATGACGAATAGTAGCAACAGAAATCAAAGTACAGACAGTAGTCATCTTAGCAACAGAAGCAAAGGTCTCCTCATAATCAATAACATACTCCTGTGAGAAACTTTTGGCAACCAAGCGAGCTTTGTAGTGCTCAAAAGAACCATCAGAATGAGTCTAGACTTTATAGACTCATTTATAACCAACCAGATTCTTGCCAGCAGGCAAAGGAACCAGCTCCCAAGTAGGAGTCTTCTGTAATGTAGACAACTCATCCTCTATAGCTCAAACCCAATTAAGATCTTAACAGGCCTCCTTGCAAGATTGGGGTTCTAGAAAGGAATGAAGAGCAAAAAAGAAGGTACGATAGGAAGCAGAAAAACATGTATTATAAAAACCCAACTTGTTCGGGGGATGCCGCTCATGATTAGGATAACGGCGTGCAGTAGGATTAGTGTCTTCAGAAGCAAAAGGAGCAACAGTAGGAAAGGAGACTACTGGTGAGGAAACAACATTGCGACGAGAATAGACTAACATCGAAAGAGGTGAAGGAGCAAGAAGGGGAACAGGAAAGGGAGCAAGAGGAGAAGATGGAACAAGCTCATGGAGAACAATAGAAATGTAATCCTCAGGACGAACCTCAGAAGGAAATGGATCAATGTGAACTAAATCCTCTTTGGAAACCGAGGCAATGAGATGAGGAAGTCAAAAATAAGACAGATGTTCCAGAAAGGCAACATGGCGGGAGACATAAAGGCAGCGGGAAGTGGGGTCGCAACAACGATAGCCTTTTAAGTAAGACTGTAATCCAAAAGACACACAGGACAGACCGGGCAATAAGTTTGGTCTGATCTGTATGGGGAAGAACGACAAAACAAGTAAACCTAAAAATACGAAGGAGCGAGTAATTGGAAAGTTGATAAAATCGAGTCTCATAAGGAGACCAACCAGAGAGAAAAGGAGTAGGCATATGGTTGAAAAGAAAAGCAATAGTAAAAACTGCCTCAACCCAAAATGGAGCCAGAATAGAGGTAGAGAAAAGAATAGACATAGTTGTCTCAAAGAGATGACAGTCTTTACGCTCAACTCGGCCATTTTGAGCAGGTATATCAGTATGGAAAGTTTGGTGAATGGTACCCAAATTGGCCAAATACTCACAAAACTCAGTTTTAAAATATTCTCCACTTAAGTCAGACCGTAACAATTTAATAGTAGACCCAAACTGTGTAGTGATCATAGACTGAAAAGTACGGTATATCTGGTACAAGTCAGACTTATGAGTCATAAGATAAACCCAAATGTAACGGGTGCAATCATCAACAAATGACACATAGTAGGCAAAAACCCTTTTGGTGAGAACAAGAGAAGGACTCCAGACATCAGTATGAACTAAAGAAAACGGTATATCAGATATAAAAGTACTTGTACGAAAATATCAGGTTGTCATTTTGGTAAGTTTATACCCCCGACACTCGGTAAGTTGACTAGGAGAAACTTTACTCAATATACCTGACAAAGCTAAAGACTGTAAGTGGTTAGCAAACAAATGCCCTAATATAGAATGCCACAAATAAAAAGGACACGATAGAGAATCTAATTGAAAAGAGAAAAAAGTAGTCGGAGAAGTAGTCATAAGCAGATGCAAGCTTACCACCACATGCTTCTTGGACATTCGATCCTACACAGAACAGAGAAAAAAAGAAAAGATAACATCAAAACTAGAGACATCAAGCTGACTGATAGATAATAAATTGACAGATAACTAAGGAACATAAAGGACAAATAGAATAGTGGCAGCAGACATAGTAGACGGTAGGATAGACCCAACAGACATACCAGACCCAACAGACATATTAACAGTAATAGGAAAGGGAGGAAAGTACAATTTTGAAGGAGAAATGAAGAGTCATATGATGAGAGGCACCAGAGTCAAAAAGCCAGATAGACGAAGATGAAGAGATACTTGAAGAAGACCCAAGCAAACCTTAATAAATAAAGAAAATAGCAAAAGCAGACAGGGATGGCGGGGAGGTACAAATATATGTTGAAGTTGACCAATCTGAGCACTCAAGGAAGCCAAAATCAGGATCAGAAGCTGGAGCAAATGCAGTATAAATGGCTAGAGTCTGAAAAGTACTTAAGAGTATGAGCTCAGAAGTGTGACTGAGATTGCAGAGTAGATGAACACCCCTTCTTGGGACAGTGATACTTCCAATGACCCTTTTGATGGAAGAAGGCACACTCATCAAAAACCAGAGACATCGTAATAACCAAAAAGTTAAGGGGTTCAAGTGTAATAAACCCTAAATAGCTAAACCAAGGGTCAAAGGATAAAAAATAGAAATTTGATAGGGCAAAATCTAATAAACCAATACTAGATGAGTCAAATATGACCAAACAGAACTAGAAAAGGAGTTGCATAATTCACCAAAACAAAAGTAGCAAATCAATTCCCCAAAGCAAAAGTAGCGAACCAAAGAAGAGATAGGTCAACCAAGAGAAATAATACCTCAAATAGGTCATGCAATCTGACCTAGAACCAGCGAGAGAAAGAAAGCAGACCGTCGCAAGAGGGAGCTTAATCATGAAGCAAAACTAAGGTAGAGTGAACCAACCAGAGAACCAAAAGTTGAAGTAAAGTCCAACGAGTTAAGGCAGAGAACCAGAAGTCCAACAAAGAAACGGCCTAACCTTGCGAGTCTAGCGATAGTCTGATGTCGCGATTCCGAAATTGAACTGAAGAGAGAAGACCCACCAAGATGGCGACAAAGGTGAAGCCCTCAAACAGAGGAGACGAAGCAACCAGATGGGTTCTCGAACCAACCACCTAACCAGATGGATCAAACGAATGAACCCCAATGGCTCAAACGAGTCAAAAGAATCAAACAACTTAATGAGTCACGATGAATAGAAGCGACAAATAGATGGTATGAACCAAAGGGCAATCTTGAGCGAACCAAATATCAAAACCAAAGAAGCTCTGATACCATGATTTCTAAATAAGAATTGTATATTCAACTTGTGAAAATAATACAAGGATACATCTAATTATGTATCAATCTTAACCCTAGGACTAAAAAGAAAAGAGAATATATTTACAATCCCTAACAAATGCTCAACGTATATACAATGTACTAATATTCTCATAGAATATGAAGAGATAATAGAGACAGAAAAGGAAAAAGAAAGAATACAAAGGTTTAATGTGGTTTGACCAATATTGACCTACATCCACACACACACAAAACCCTAGGAGCTACATCTTTCATTCACTCAACTTAATACTCTTATTTGCATGATATACCATAAATATAAAGTAAGAGATACAATCAAATCCTTTCAATTAAGAAATTGAAATAAATCAAAGATATGAAAGAATCATAATATGCACAAATCATGGGATCTCCATATATTCTGATATCTTTCATATCTTCTGATATCTTTGGCAATATAATCTTATTTTCAACAAATACATGGGTGCATGCCCTTCAGCAACTTTTAAAGAAAAAAATTAACTCATAATGGCAGGATTTTCCTATTAGACTGTCCAATTTGGATCTGAAGTTGCTAGAGGACCAGCCTTCAGTGGAAACTTAAACTACCTTAGGAGGGTAAAGTCTGTAAAGCTGACTTATATGCATGACATGACAATATAGCCCTTGTATAGACCAAATGATTTTCCTATATAATTCCCCACTGAATATCTTCAACCATATAGGCTCTTGAATTATTTCTTTATCTGTAAAGAAATTTTCAGATCTATACTATCTAACAAGCGGAGAAAATGTATGATTCAAGCCTTTCATATAAATTTTACAGTCTCATTTAATTTACAGATTTTTTTTTTTATTTTAAAGATTGTTAAAAGAAACAGAGGTGTCAAATAAGATCTAGAATTACAATTGAAAAAGAAAAATATGCACTTTGGCTAATAATATTGTAAGATGAACAATTTCAATATAGTTTCTACTGAAGTCGAACCATATTTGTATACAATCACAATCCCTTTTGGTTTTTCCCCCTCGATTATTGAATTCATTATTTTTCCTTCTCCTTTATCAAATCACTTTGTTCTATATAATTAGACGACATTTTAAGCTTTTCTGCTTTAGAGATGTCTATCACAGTTGAAAATTTTCAAGCACTGTTTAATGCAGCCAAATAGGCAAGTTCATACTCTCAACCAACATATCATAGTTCAAGAGGTTTATGTCGTTTTCATCTTTCAGTCAAATCACCAAAGACACCCCATATTGTATTTACAGTTCACATTCCATTATCTCATTTTTAAATTATGACCCCAAAAAAAAAAGTTCAAAATTTACAGAACTCAGCTCCATAATGTCCTCAACCACACACCCAACAGTGCAATTCACCACTTAAACAATTCATCTGAACACAACCCACTACACAAACCATAATTGAAGAAATTCCAAGATTATATACCACAAAAATAGAGTGACCCGTTAATGATTTCATGAAGGAAAGCAGAAATCAACAACCAATGCACCACACATTCTTCAGTAGCAGAGAGAAAGAGAGAGAGAGAGACCTGTCCGACAACGGCAGCTAAAGGGAAGTATTGTCTTCCGTAGGAGGTGGTTTCGTCCTTGTTGGGGACGACAGCAACAGCACCATTGCTGGATTCGAGAGTTGCAGTGGCACGAACACGGAGGCGATTGGGGAGGCGTTTGGGCTTGAAATTGAAAGAGGAGAACGAGGAGGAGGAGGAAGAGAGGATTGGGTAGAGCTTGAAGGAGGGAAGAAATGGGGATGATTTGAGGAAATTAGAGAGAGAAGAACATGTTGGAGGTGTGGGGGAGAGTGCCATTGGAGGAGACTGGAATTGTCTCTGAGAGAGAGTGGATGGAGAGGGAGAGGGAGAGGGAGAGAGAGCGAGAGGCCAGAGTCCTTATCTGTTATTTTATCCGGTGAAAGATCTGCTCTCTGATGTAATTTGGGTATGATTTGATCAATTAATTGGAATCTCATATCTCCTTCACCTCTCTTTTAAGGCCTTTTCTCAAATTAAGGTAAAGTAGTAATTTATTTTTCAAATTAGTTTGGATGAAATTCTTAAATTAGATTAAAACGTACTTGTGAACCACACTTTTATTGTTTATCTGATTCTTTCATAGAAAATTTATAAAATCATAAAAGTATGATTACAAATCACACTTTTAATTAAGAAAACGTAGTTACAAAATAGACTTTTGTTGTTAACTAAAGAAAGCGTAAATAATAACCATGAGTTTGAGCAAAAATGTGAAAACGTGTTTTCAAAACACTTTTTCAATAAAACATCAAACCCAGCACTACTCTTTTTTAAATATCAATTTTGCTTTCACTAGGTAAATTACATTGACACCCCACACATTTTAAAAATTACAATCTCTACCAAAGGTTTAAAGTAACATTACCAATTGCACCCTCGATTAGTATTAGTCGAAAAAAAAAAATTATTGGAAAAAAAATTAATTGAAAAAAAAAATTTGTTAGTAAATTTTTTAAATTTCTGTTTAAAAACCAACGTAAACTCATTTTTTAAATTTACGTTTTTTCTCAAATTTACAAACTGAGACAACAATTATAAATTAAAAAAATTATCAAACAAGTTTTTATGACAATATTTTAAATTTTGCAAATATAAATTGAAAATTGAAAACGAAATAGTTACTGAACAGGTTTCAGATGGTAAAAATGTCGTAAAATTAACAAATAATTAAATAAGTTACCAACGTAAGAAATGACTTATTAAGAGATTCTTAGGCTATGTACGGTTTGATTTTTAGAATTTTTTTTTAAAAAATTAAAAATTAATTTGGTTCAGAAGTAAAAAATAATTATCATTTAAGGGTAAAAAATAATTATCATTTTAACTTTTGGCAGGTTATATACATACGTATGGTTGTTTCAATTTAATTTGTAAAAACTTATTTCTAACCACTCGAAAGATAAAAATTATATTAATATAATTTATATTTACAAAAATTATATAGTTGATTATTATTTGCTATTATAAATTATTATTATATATATTTAATATTTGTCTCAATTTTATAAAATAAAATTTATGTATATTAAAAATTATATATGTATGTGAGTGTGTGAGTGTGTCAGAGAGAGAGAGAGAGAAGAGTGAGTGTTGGGTTTGATTTTTTGTTAAAAATGTGTTTTCAAAACACACAAATTTTGAAAACACGTTTTCACATTTTGTTTAAAAGCGTGATTATCATCTACGCTTTCTTTGATCAATAGTAAAAGTGTGGTTCGCAACCACGTTTTCTGAAAGAAAAAAAAAAATTTACTTAAAAGCATGACTCCTAACAATGCTTTATGTATAAATCAAATTTCTTTAAACGCGTGGTTTGTAACCACGCTTTTATGCTTTTACAAATTTTTAGCGGGAGGGTCAAATAAACGGTGAAAGCGTGGTTTACAACCACGTTTTAGCCTAATTTGAGAATTCCGTTCAAACTAGGCCTAGTTTGGAAAATAAGTTGCTATTTTGCCTTAATTTCCCCTCTTTTAACTCCCTATTTAACACCCTAATTGTTAGGCCATTGAGCTCATTTTTTGGATCAATTTTGATTATCCGAACCGTTCATATTTTAAGATTTATTGAGTATATTATATTTGTAAAAAATCAAATTAATCGGATATCAGAAACTATGCGTTCGGATCATTAAACTACAAACCATTTTATAAAAAAATTAATAAACAGTTTTCCGAACACATGTTTTCTAATATCCGATCAACTTAATTTTTTATAACTATCATATACTCAACAAATTTTAGAATGTGAACGGTTCGGATCATCGAAATTGGGCTTAAAAATAAGCCCAATAACCCATCAAGTAGAGAGTTAAAGGAGAGAATCCTGAATCAATTAATTGTGGTTATGGTTCATATTTTAAAGGGTAATAAATTTTTAAATGCAATCGTGTGTATTGTTTTGTTTTGTTTTGTTTTTTTAATAAATTTAAAGATTTTGTTAAAGTTAAAATTATATAAAAGAGTAGTCACTTATATATTTGAATTTAACTTTTGAGAGATAAAGTGGACTTTTCCAAATGTAAAATTATACATTTGGATAATTCACAGTATAGAGGTTTTGTATTTTTTTCTCTTTTTGGAACAAATCTCACATTACAAATAAGAATATAACACATTAATATAACACTAAAAAACTCTTTATTGTACTTTTTTTAAACATAACATTTCCAAAAAAAAATCTTTAGTGTATTTTTTCCAAACATAATAACGTAACACTCCAATAAATGTAATTCTAAATGTAATACTTCAATGTAACACACACGAAAACACTAAAAAGCTCTTTAATGGTCTTTTTCCAAACGTAACACTCATAGTTTGAAATTATACATCTGCCCCAAACTTACCCAGGAATTTTTATATACTAAAGAGTGTTTTTTTGTGTGTTACATTGGAGTATTACACTAAGAAGTTTGTTTTTGAAGTATTACGTTTGGAAAAGTATACAAAGAAATTTTTTTGATATGTTACATCGGAATATTACATTGGAGTATTACAGTTTGAAATTATATATTTATCCAAAACTTATTAAGGAATTTTTATACTCATTTTGAAGTGTTTGAAGAATCTCATATCCTTTTGAAATGTTTGAATAATCTCACATTTCAAGTTATTTCAAATAAAAAAGATTTCTATATAAAAATTCATCTCAAATTTGATTTTCATAGATTGTGTATCTTACCTTTTTAGCGCGCGCACACACACCCAAAAAAAAACAAAAAAGAAACAAAGAAAAGAAAGAAAGAAAAAAGAAGAAAAATGAAACATAGGCGGTGTTTGGGAACGTGGTTTGCTGCCTATTTTATGCTCTAACGGAAAAAAAATTCAAAACGTCACACTGTAGCTGAGTTCACGAGCTCAGTCCAGCTGTATGGCATTAGATTGGTAAAAAGACATATTTACCCTCCGTTGCTCCTATCTGTTTGGAGACATGCTCATATCTCTCATATCTCCCATATTTGGCTCTACCTGGAGGCTTTTACAGCTCAGTGGACTACCTCTCTCCGGCAGCTCACTCTGGCAGACTTGTTATGGAAAGACCAATTAGCCGATCGTCGAGGAGATATAAAGGTACGGTTGCCAAACACCATTTCTGTGCTTTTTCTTCACCGATCTGCACGGATGATGATGTACTCCCCTTAAAATATTTTTCTTGGTTCAACTTCGGTGGTTCAGTCACCGATCTTCCTAGTTCTCTTCACCATGTCGTGTCCAACAAAAAAATAGATACAAATAACTTGTTTATGCTTTGCTCAACAAACCATTTTTCTTCTTTTCGATCTTCCTTCATTTGGGGTTTTTTGGAGATTTCACGAGCAATTTTTTTTTCCTTTCTTCCATCTAAATAAAAACTAAAATGACCATTTAATTGTGAAGGAGCATCTCTCAGTCTTCATTATTATTTTTTTTCTAATTTGATTTGCAATTTAAATAAAAAAAAACTTGGAGAAAATATCAATTATTTCAATTCGTAATGTAATTTTTTGTAAAAATCTTTTTCAAAATTATTCTCATATATTAAAAATTGGCTTTCATCAAAATTTAATAAAATTTTTAATTTAAATTTGATGAATTATTAATTTGAAAATAAAAAAATTAATCTTCTTTCATTTAACCTGTTTTTCAGTGTACAAAAATTATCTGAAACTAATGGACAAAAAAACTTAAATGATGAATTAATTACCTTTTTTCAATGTAATTTTTTTTTTCTTGCTTCCATGTAAATAAAAACTAAAACGAACATTTACTTGTTTAGAGCATGTCTCAGTTTTCATCAACATTTTTTTTTAATCTAATTTGATTTTCAGTTTAAATAGGTTTGGGCTTTGAATTCTATACGCCTTGTACATTATTTTGATGTCACGAGTCATCACCATATCTTGCAAATTTACTGTTTCTCATACCCATTTTGTGATATATTGGAATTTTGTGATACGCTACTTTCTGAAATTCTATTTTAATTTTGTAACTAGTAGCTTTACTTTGAGACCTTCAACGGTAATATATGAGCCTCATTGGTATCCTTATCCTTCTGTTACATTGGACCAATGCCATGAGTGTTTTGCATCTGCTTTGCATATCTACATTCCAGTTAAGATCATGATCATTCATCACCATTTAGGAATTTTTTTAAAAGAACAACCGCATCTTCTTGTTAGGGTCAAAGTGAGCCTTAATATTGATTTGTTGAGCTTTGATTGTGTTCACGGCGGAGCTAGAATTTTTATTCAGTTGATGCAAAATCTTACCTAGAACCCACGGTCGTACACAAGTTTTTTATTTATTTATTTTTCCCTTATTTGATAATCAAAAGAAGTAAAATTTGTAACTTAAACACCTATTCCTTTAATCTATGGGTATGCCGTTATAAATTACCTGTTACATTTCTGGAGATTTGACTATAAATTTTTTTGTATGTATTTCTTCCATCTAAATAAAAACTTAAATGAACATTTAATTTCTGGGAGCATCTCTCACTTCTCATCTAATTTTTTTTCCGATTATCTAATTTGATTTTCAGTTTAAATAGATTTGATGAATTAGTAATTAATTGATCTAAAAAAAAATTCTGCTTTCATTTACCCTTTTTCCAATGCACACAAATGGTTAAAACTGATGGACACAAAAAAAAAGTGTAAAGTAATGAACAAATCTGATTTGCATAGTAAATTTGAATTGCCCAAATCTGTTGGAGTTAGCTTAATTACCTATTCACTCAATCTGTTATGCTGTTAACAATCAATTGTTGTTATAAATGTAGATTGTTATTCCTTCAATCTGGTATGCTGTTATAAATTAACTGTTACATTTCATCGAATATACGTGTATTGCAATTATAACCCCAATATGTGGTGCTGTTTTAGTCATGTGTTTGGTCTGTGTGTAGT